GACTAGATAGTTCCTGCATCTTCGCTGGTGCTAATTAGTAGGGCGACTTGGCTATTGGGAAAGCTCCTGGGACTAAGTCGATTCTGAACTCGACCTGTCATTGCAAAGGTAATCCAGGTAGCTCTCCTAGGAAAATGTCAGGGAAGTCGCTCACTACTGGAATGTTCTTTAGTTCTTTCGTTTCGAGGCTCGTGTCGACGACGTGAGCAAGGAATGCGTGGTATTCGTTGCGCAGATATTTTTGTGCTTGAATACTTGATATAATGCGAAGACTCGCACCGGGTTTGTCACCGTAGACGATAAGTGTCTCGTTAGATGGGAGGTTTAGGCGGACTGCTTTCTTGAAGCACATGATATCGGCGCGATGAAGACTCAACCAATCCATACCGATGATAACGTCGAAGCTTTTAATCGAGACCGACATAAGGTCGATTGGGAATGAATGGTTATCTAGAGTTAGGTTACATCCTAAGTATATGCTACTGGTGTTTTCTGTTTTTCCATTAGCCATTTCTACTGTGAATTGTTCTTTAAGTGCATGTGGTTGTTGTTTAAGCATGCGAGCAAATTTATGGTTCACGAAGCTTCGTCCGCTCCACTATCGAACATAATGCATGCATAGGAGTTATCGAGGAGGAACGTACCAGTCACCACTATCGGGTCAGCAACTGCTTCCCCGTAGCCTATAGCTAGTACCCTCCCTGCTCCTCCAACATTCTTCACCTTGGGGCAGTCCCTCTTAAAGTGGCCTGCTTCGCCAAATCCATAGCAGGTCGGGCTCGCGCCAGAGCCGGGGACTTGTGTGATCGGTTGTGCCGGGAATTTACATAAACGGACGGTGTGTTCTTTCCTGTTGCAGTTAAAGCACTGCATTTCACGGCAGGGGCCGTTGTGGTGGAAGTTGCATTTGTTGCAATTAGGCAAACTTCCAGCATACTGCTTCATCGGAGCAGTAGCAGGGGTTATCGCGGCATGCACTGCCACAATTTGCTGCTTTTTGGCAGCTCGCTGCTTCTTCTTGTCATCCCAGAACTTCTGCTTAGTGTCAACGGGTTTGGAGGGTTCCGGGATGGCTAGGGTTGTTGTGGTTGCAGGGGTTTTGACTCCATGGTCAGTGAGTCGCTGTGCCAGTCGCTTGGCACTATCGAAGGTAGCGGGGTTTGATGATAGGACATTCCCCTAATACGGAGGCACTAGCCCCCATATGTACCTTTCTATCTTTTTCCCTTCAGTGGGAACCATATTAGGGCAGAGAGCCACCAGTTCACTGAGTCTGGCGGTATAAGCAACAATGTTGGTGCCCTTCATGGTTAGGCTCCAAAGCTCCTGCTCTAGTTTCTGGATCTCGCCCCTCAGGTAGTATTCCTCAATCATGAGGTCTTTCATCGTTTCCCAGCCTATGTCGTTGGCTACGACGAGAGTTAAAGCTTTAACGTGGCCGTTCCACCACGTCAAGGCCTTTCCTTCAAAGGTGCATGCGGCATATTTGGCTTTGCTCGCAGCAGGGCATGAACAAATTTCGAAGACTGATTCAGTCTTCTCGAACCATTGCGAGAGGGCAATGACTCCGCCTGTCCCATGAAAGGACTTCGGCTTGCAGTTGGTGAAATCCTTGTAAGAGCACTCTCTCGAGCGCACAGGAGTTTCAACCGGAATAGAGTTAACAGGGGTTCCACCTCTTCTGGCATCAGTAGAGTGATACTGTGCCATGGCAGTTGCCACTGCTGCAGCTATGGCAGCATTTAGGGCTATTGTATCGATGATCAGAGGTGGAGGAGGCGGTGTAGGTGTAGGGTTATTTCGGGGAGATTTGCGAGGAGGCATCTTATAGCTATAAGTTTATAAAGATGAGAAAAGTGGTAAGAATCAATTTGTAAGTAAGGTGAGAGTGACACATGGACTAACTAACCATAGCCCAACAATTGAATGAGTGTTTGAGATCATAACAAGGAAGATTTGTAGGAAAACACAAGTGTAAAGATTCTTCCCACAGAGTAGGTAGTTGTCAATAATACTGGTATTACTGATGTAATGAGTTCAATGAAAATCGACCTAAAAGTAGGGCTTACATCATACCATACGGAAAGTTTGACAGTTCGTAGATTCCTAATTAGAGTACTGAAAGTTAGGAATATTTTACAGATAAGTGCTACTTAGAGCATAGATGTTAGAGGCTAATCCTTAACCCAAAATAGAAAGATGTACTAGACATCATCTATCGGCAATGAGTATTCCTTGGGAGAACCCTGAGGTCTCTCATTTGACGGACCACCTCTTGAAGGTGTCATTCATGAGCCTTTTGACGAGCTCGAAGTTCCATGACCTTTGCTTGAGAGGCAACCAGATGTTGTTGTTGGGTTTCATTAGTTCTCCGGGTCCGTTCTATGTCTTCTTCGAGACGGCGAATGCGGACTGTGTTGACACAAGAGTTGGCATCAATCTCCACAACCTAGTCGATGGCTGCTCGACCTTGCTCAACATTACAAGCTATTCTGCGGATAATGACGGGCAAAGCTCGGTCAGCAGAACCACCTTCGCTGACGTTGTAAAAGCTTCGGTCCCCAATGTATGGTAAGGGTTGACCCTGTTTGTCACTCCAGCGATTCAAGTTATCTACCCATAAGGGAGTGGGACCTGGAAAAGCTGGTCGAGGTTTGTTGTTCGGGGATTGACCTACTGGAGGTAGGTTGTTGACTTCGGGCTCAGAGTCTGGTCCATCCGAGAAGCCTTCAGCTTGATGATCATCCAACGGAATTTTGTGCTCATCATCAGGCTCTGCTTCGAGCCATCCTGCGTTGCCTTCATTTGGAAAGTACGGGTCGCCGTGATGGAATCCAGCCATTTCAATCTACGCAAGAAGATAGGTATAAAGATATAGTATATATGTAGCTAGAAGTACAAAATACACCCGTAGTATTTTAAGTTTAGGTTCTATTGATCTTATTGTGGTATTGTTGGTAAGTTTTTAGACTTGTTAACACATCACAACCATTCTAGGGCCTATGCCAATCACTCCTCGGACCAGCATAGTTGATCAGGCTATGCCATTCCCAGGACTGACCATATATCCCCGAGCTTACCTGTGATATTTAACAATCGTAATACTTTTGTTCTTGGCATTGTGACACTGATTTTTGTATGAATGCAGACTAGTATACTTAATTAAATATTTTAGTTTTTAAAGTATAGACTCTTGGTCAGAGTGTTTTAATCCCAAATGGGTTTATAGTTTAGTATATCTTTTATGGGTTGATATACTTGATTCACTATAAACTATGCTCTGATACCAATCTGTCACACCCCTAAACCAAGAACGGCGTAAACGTTCTGGGGCGGAGGACGTCATGTAAAGTATCACAACACAGTAAATGTAAATAAGCAAACAGCATTAATCATTGCATTAAATATATAATTTTAATACAAGCATGTTTTGTACAGTATAGACACACTACTAGAAAAACAGCCTTTTGTGACGCTCATTGTGCATCGTAAAAGGCTCAGACGACGCGCAAATGCGCGTCAAGGAAGGCCCTGTCATAAAGAGAGACGTCGCGCATTTACGACGCGCATTTACGACGCTCATTTACGACGCCCATTTATGACGCTCAATTACGACGTGCATTTACGACACGCAATGCGTATCAAGGAAGGCCCTGTCATAAAGGAAGACAACACTCATTCGCGTGTCGTAACCTTACGACACGCGTGTTGATGACACGCAATGCGTATCAAGAAAGCCCCTGTCAAGAAAGGCCATGTCATAGATGAAGATGACACACCTTTTTGCGTATCATAATTTTAAATGTTTAAAAAAAATATTATTTATAGATTTACTAATTTTCAAATTAAATAATACATTAAAAATCTCATAATACAAAATAAAATACCATAAATAACAAAGAAAATTCATTTCACTAATATGTCAAATACAAATAATTATTCCAAAAGTGAGTAAATGTTATAAAAAAATGAACTCATTTATATACAATTGCATCATCTAGCTTACGATGTGCCAACAACTCTCTGTGTGTTTACTTTTGCTTGAGTCTCGTTTCCTCCAAAGCTTCTATCCATGCCAAAATATGATATCTTGAGTCTCGTTTCAAGAACCAAAATCACCTTCAATTACCCAATTAAACTCTAATGTTGGTAGACTGAGAGTTCCAAAATCAAGTTTACATCCATCACCATCAATCACCCAATTAAACTCTAGATCTTCTATTGTTTGAAAGATATTGGTGTTTGTAATCTATGAAAAAAAACGCAAAGACCAAGGTTAACATTTGCTATATAGAAAGCACAACTGGACATATGAATATATAATACGCAACATAAACATTTTCAGATACTAGTTCCTGTAAAATCACCCTTCAAAGAACCAAAAAAATATGAGATAATTATGATAAGTATCATTTTAAATAAAAAACAATTACAAATTAATATCACCGGTAACAATGTCAGGTTGCAAAACATTAAAAAAGTTATTCTACAATCTATATATACATGGAGGAAAAGATCATACTAGCCATACAAATGCATAATCCTTCATGAAGCATCTATACACCAAGCCAACCAGATAAGAATTAAAGACACTGTGATGCATTATGAAATCAAATAAAAGATAAGTTCAAATGATGAACAATGAGAGTTAAGGTTAAAATCTTAGTCAAACAATAAAATGATTGATGAAAAGTACCTTGAATTTCATCTGCTTCCTCTTTCTCTGATATGATCAAGCCATAAGCTTCTTATATGTAGTAAATTTTGTCCTTACTATCGAAAATATCCTCCCCGACAAAAAGATTTGAAAATCTTTCTTTCATCATTTCAAGCTCTGATATAACAAATTAAAATAAAAAAATGATCAAAATTATGTGAATAAATTAATTGAATTGTAATAAAAACTCACTAAAATCAGTAGGTTTCTGATCTTGTCTGTGGTTATGCCTAATTTCACCAAATCTTGAAAAGAGTTGGTTGATAAGGTGATCTTCCTGAAGTTAGCCCTTTCCGATTAAGAAATATCTCCTCTGCCAAACGGCTTCCCTATTTCCCACACCCTACACCAAAATAACGATAAACAAAAAAATTCCAAAAGTTTAAGAAATCACAAGGCTGATTGGATTGGATGAAAGCATGAGTGGTTCTAGAATCAAACCAACCTTCCAATTAAGAACATCTAACCAACCCTCAAAGTCATCTTGATCCCAAGGCTGGGCAAGACCTTCATTATCATTATCCTCTCCCTGAAATATCTTTGCAACTTGCATCAGTCGATGATAACGCGCAGGGGGAAAGTGAAATCCAAGGAAAGGAAGCCGCAGGACTAATCTTGTTGTGGGGAAAGATGGATTCTCTGATTGGATCTAGATGGAGAGATGAAGTGTTATCAACTGACAACATATAATAATAATAATGTTTCAAACTTGAAATCAATATACATGTTGAAGCTTACAAGTCACACCACACTTATCAATAATAGGCAAGAAACTAACGATACTAGACTGCGAAGAACCGCCAGATCCTCCTGTCAATGAACGTTGACTCCAATGATAGTCACCATCAACAAAAAAGCAGATACAACACTTAATACTACACCGAATTGGAGATAAATATCCTTCTCGTGAGAAACATCATCATCATCATCATCATCATCATCATCATCATCCTGTGCATGTTTGAGAAATTTTATGAAAAAGTTATCAATCAAGGACATTTGGGTTGATCAAAGAGAAATCACTATGGACCAACCTGAGTACGGATGATCAAGTTTCCCAGGTCAAGCAAGAGTTTTGTGGGATGAATATTGTCTGGACAATATTCAGTTGGAATGGTGATATTGGGGGCTGCTATATCCAAGTCCAAGAAGAACCTAGTAGCAAGTTAACTCAAGTGTCACACTTTGCTTTGTAAATGAAGCATTCTTAGTTTATATGAACTGTCTATGGATGTATAAGTACAACAACAATCACGTTATAGTTATAACAAACATGTGAATAACCACATACACCATTATGATGCATCCATATCAATCAACAACACATAACCATTCAAAAAAACAGATGGTATAATTAGAAAGAGAAACGGACACGCCTATCATCACCTGAAGCAACAGCTACAGATGCCATTACTGCAAGAATGTTGGCAGTTTTTTTACCCTTCCAACGATCCGTTTTCCATGTTCCTATTTTTATTTCAGATAAAAGAGAAACAACGTCTGTAGTGGTCTGTGCTTTTTGACATGTGTTTTCTTTAAAAAGTTGCTCTTGAAATGTTTATGTTTGGACACAGTCAGTTTGTTAGACTTAATAAACTACACAGTGAACCTTCTGAGACTACATGGTTGTTTCTTTTTTTACTTAAATGGACAGAATGACTTAACGAGTTCAATTTAAAATTGATGAATAATGTGAAATTTGTTTTTTTTTTTTTGGAATACAAGGGTAATATGGTCATTAAGTCTCATTTAAAAGACTTATTCAGTCTAGAATATAAGGGTAATATAGTCATTAACGTCACAAACCTAAAGAAGACCTTGGTTGGTGCATGGAGCATAGGATAGTGAATCAACAATCCACTCCTTGACAACGCTTTGGTACAAAGAGAGAAAAAAATATACTGAAGCGGGATCATTCACTAGAGATGAAGGTGGATCACCATTCACAGAGAGTAAAAGAGAAACTAGACAAGATGATTTCCACAGGATCTACACCTAATAGAATGTTACTTAAAGTAAGGGCAAATTGCGGAGAATAGCAACACAATTTACTCTTTTTACCATTATAGGTAATGTAATTTATTTTTTTACAGGTGATAGCATTATATGTCGTTAGTTACCCTAAAGTAAAAGTAGAACAAAATATAAAAACTCATAAATTTGTAATACAAATTAATACTTTACGTGTAGAAATCTCACTCTCAATTGAGACAGGAGATTAACTGATACATCCTAAATGTGTTCTTCTCTAACATACAAACTCTTTATGAGAAAGCGATCATGGACAGCCAAAGGTTACTCTCTGACCTTGGCAACATCTCCTACCAGGCCTATGAAGGGCATTAAGTTCTAATTCATCCTCCAGGCATTTTACAGAGCTCACAACCTGACAAAAAAATAAATTCCCAAAATTCATGTTTTTGGTTTTGCACATTTTACAGTTTTCACAGAAGCAGAAGAGTTAAACATAACCACATGGTGCCATTAATTTCATCTGCAGATTCAAGAACATTGCAAAATGAATGTATGGAAAAAAAAATGTTTATAAAAGAAAATATTGGCCCTAAAGTATTGGATTTTTAAACTATAAATGTATGTACACATAAAAACCAAGTTCATAAATCCACATTGAATAAGCACATGTGAAAGAAAGAAAGAAAAGAAAACCTGAGTATCCTCAGAGAAAAAACTTATCACACTTTCAATCTCTAAGGAAATTGTCTTATTGCTAACTTTTAACCTTTCGATATCTGAGACAAAAGCTCTACCAACCACAAAAGAAAATATGTGTGTCTCTACTAACTTTTAGATCAATATGAACCCTTGTGAGAATTAAAATTATTTCCTTTACCATATTTAATCACCAATTCTACATGGGTTCCAGCTGAAGGTAGGGGTAAAGATAAGTACATGAAAGGGTCAAATAAAAAAAATAAAAAAAAACTTTTCTTTTACCTTTTCATATGTAGAGTAATGGCCACCACCAGAGAGGGTGAAGGTTTTTTATCGACTCCAAGAAGGGAATAACAAAAAATCATGTAAAAGAAGGAAGACCGACAATAGGAAAAAAAGATGAATGAAACATAAAAAAGTTGAAGAAAAATGAACCTGTAGCTAAGAAATTGAAGGTCCCTGGTGTAGCTGTGGAGTTCGACGATCTCCAGCCAGTGGTGGCTTGGCTTCACAGGGAGGTGATGGCTAATGGCGGCAACCAGAGAGGACTCGGTGATTGAGGAGCCAACGATCGAGATAAGCAGATGAAGGGTCTGTGAAAAGTGTCGTTGTAGAATATGGAGTGTGATATGTTGGATTAGTGTTTTAAGAGAGAAGGAATCCAAGTAATTTAGGGTGAGTGTAATTATCGATGGGTAGAAGGGGTCTGTGGAGAGAAGGAGGGATAGAATTAAGACGGATTCGGTGGGTGGAGAGAGTACAGAGGTAGAGGAAGGCGAATTGTGATTTTAGGGTTCAATGGTGGTGGCGGTGGCTTAGAGTTTGCAGAGAGAATGGAGGGATGGAATGCAGGTCGTGGGTGGGTGAAGATGTAGAGGAGAAGGCGGTAGGTGATTTAGATGCAAAATGGTGATGATCAATGCGTTTCTTTTTTTAGAGAGAGAGAGAGAGAGAGAGAGAGAGAGAGACGAACTGCTTAAAAGATTAATATGGGATTTTTGGTAGAGGATTTTAGAAGAAGAAGAAGGAGATGCATCGGCGGGCTGTTTAATTTTTTGGTATTTTCATTTCCCCCCTAAGAAAACGCGCCATCCTAAAGAAAAATATAAAGCGACAGTTGTAGACGGCGCCCTTTTTTATGATAGGTGCCTTCCGTGTTTTTAATTTTTTTTTGTTAGACACTATTTTTAGGGCACGCACAAATGCGCGTCCTTTATCAGCGAGTGTCATTGTTTGCACGTCATTAAAGGGTTGTTTTCTAGTAGTGACACCAAAAATAATGTATATCAAAATAATAAGATGAGTCTTGAATGCGCTCCATCTTCTCAAAAGTTGGCCTCGGTACCTGTCTACTGATGACCTGACAATACAAGTTATTTTGAAAGAGTTTATCAGCATTAAGCTGGTGAGTTCATAAGTATTTTAGTGTCGGTATTTGTCATCCAAAAATGTTTGAACATGTATCAAGTGTAAGGTTGTAAAATGTATGTAAAGGTTTGTAAGTGTTTGTAAAAGTTTGAATCTCTCAGAAAAACCTATATATTCTATTAAAGTAGCCTTCTACCAAGGCTTAACTGTTTTGTATGCTCGTTTGTTGTAAAAGTGTGTAATTTACTCAAGTGTAACTATCATTTTCAAAACATAGTTTGTACATAATTGTTTAAGTGAAAAGATCACTAATTGTGTAAAGAGTAAATTAATGTAGTACTGCAGTGTTGTATTATAGGAACTACTGTTGTACTAACTACCTTAAACCGGATTTATATTAAGGTATCATGTGATAAATTGCACCATACTATCGACTGGTAACAACGACATATGAATGGTCGTAATAATGGAATGACGTTTGGCACCCGCAGACCTGCAGGTCCAGCTGTAGCTAGCAGCAAGGCGTAGGATAGTCAATCCAGTATAGATCTATACGCAAACTCACGTTCTCCCTCCAAGAGAATTCTGGCTACAACTCGGGCCATGACAATTAAGGCATGCTCCGATATAGTGGATCACAATTGTTAACGTATTCTTGTATATGAAATGAAATGAAATGAACTGTCCTAGTATAGTTGTATATGTTCTTCCTCTAGTATAGTTGTATATGTTCTCTGTCTAGTATAGTTGTATATGTTCTCTTTCTAGTATAGTCGTATATGTTCTCTTTCTAGTATAGTTGTATAAGTACTCGTAGTAATAAGTATTAACTCATGAATGAACTGACTCATTTATCTAGAAATTGTAGTAGTATGATCCTATGTTACCCCGATGGTAACTTACTGATGATGTACTGATAAGTATGAATATGGAAGTACTTTTATGTCTATACATGTATATTTGATATATAATTAATAACGAAACGACCTTCGGACGGTTACCCGAAATCCCACCAGACCACATCTCAATGCGCGAAAAGGAAATAGGGTGGATAACCTTCCTAAGGCCTTTAAACATTTCTTATATATCTATACATATATGGGAATGGAATTTATAAGAAGTAAAACAAAGTTTAATAAAATCATTTGATAAGTAAAAGAGTTTGTAAAACATTTTGAAGTGAAACAGTTTGATAAACAGTTTGAACAGTGATAAAATCATTGGTTTTCTAGTTATTAATCGCATGTGATTAATGTAATCACGTGTGATTGATGTAATAACTATAAGTATTTAACTTGTATCCCCCCCCATAAAGTATTTAAAACATTTAAAATCATTTCAAAGGTTAATTAAAGGGGTATGAACTCACTTGCGGTGAGTGGGTTGGATTGAAGTATCGGATACCGTGCTAGGTGGCAAACGGAGACTTGTTCACACGCACGATCCTAGTTATCATATAATGAGCATATATATAACTAATTAGCCAATTAATAACTTATTGAAATAAGTTAGGACACTTAGGAACATGTAAACACTTTGTATAAGTGTTATAGGTCCTAAGGGTTGCATCTAAGTCGATATGGGACAAGGCAAAAGGATTGAAAAGCTTCCAAGGACCTTGTATAAGAGTTTACCACCCAACAAACCCCACCCTTGGAGTTTACGGTCATAAACCCCTTGAGTTTACGGCCGTGAACTCCACTCTTGGTGGTTTTGGGTGTTTTAAGGTGCTAAATGAATCCTAGAATAAGCCTAGCATTGGTAGATTAATCCTTTAGGTAGTTTAAGGCCCTAGAATGCTCCTTTGAGGAGTTTACGGCCTAAAGACCATATCCCCTAGAGTTTACGGCCCTAAACTCCGATGGGGTGCCTTTACTTGGAGTTTACGGCCCAAGAGTATTTCTTGGCCGTAAACTCCCTTTTAGGGATGATTTTGATGTGTTTTGGTCTCCAAATTAGCTACAAGCATTAGAAGGTAATTGTCTTAAAGCCTTAGGGGTGTTTAGGGCACATTTTGGCCCTAGAAAATGGTGTTTACGGTCCAAGAAACTCTTGGGCCGTAAACTCCAAAAGCTAAGTGTTCTTGAATGATTTGTAGCCTCAAATGTTTATACACAATGTACTTAACTAGTTACCTAACAAGGAAACGGGACTAGATAGCTTTTAGGCTTTGTTTTGGAGTTTACTCCCCAAGAACGTTCTTGGGCAGTAAACTCCCAGATCTTACAAATTTGTCATATAAACAATGTTATAAAGCATATAACAAGCATTAAAACACATTTAGGAAAGTAGACTCACGATTTGGGATGAAAACCCGAAGATCCGTGAGAGAGAAAATGGTGTTTCTCAGTTGGAAATGTAAATAATGAATAAATTTAGTTCAGAAATCTATTTATAGTCCTGAAATATTTTGACAGAAAATATTTTTATTCCGGAAATGATTTCTAATATATCCGAGTGTTGGAATAACATTGTTGCACAATACCATAGCGCATCCACTCTCCAGATGTTTACTGAAGTGTAAACCCTAAATTACTCCAACTTATACGAAAAGTCTGAAAATCGACTATGACTGTTATTACTTCTACTGAAGTGATACTGTTTGTATAGAATGGAAATTTCGGGTTGTCACATAAACACAATGACTAGTTTATTGGGGAGTAAACTCATACATAAGCATGAGTTTACGGTTTTTGGGTGATTCCTACACCCAAAACATAAAAGTTTAGTCGGGTGATTCTAATACGCGAAGTGTTTGCGGTTTTCAAAATAAAAACCTGAGACGACACTTTCTTTCACCCGTTCGTTTAAAAATAATAATAAAATAATTAAACGAACTTTATATTTCTTAAAAGTAAAAAATAATGATATTAAATCACGATGCAAAATGGTTGACTTTTAGGGTTTGACCAAAAGAAATTTGAGGTTGTCACAATATTTACGGATTTCTTTTGAGAACAAGAAGGCTAGAAACTTTATATTTCCTAAAAATTTTTTGAATAGAAAAGTTCTGATTATTTGATTTTACACGATAATATGTCATTTCCTATTAATAGAAAAAAAAAGAATTTTTCATTAATTTGATCAAAAAATAAAATCTTTTATGTTAAAAAATAGGATTTAATCGTAAATTTTCCCAAAATATTTAAGCTTTTCTGACAATTTTCCAAGTTAAATATTATTTTCAAATTTCAAGTTGGTTTAAGTTATATATCATTTTTTCTTATTAAAGCATTATACTTTGAAAGTATAATGCTATTAAGGTAAGAATACAAGTATAATTTTCATATTTTGTATCAGCAATACCACTTTTACTACTATGATCCTTCAAGTATTGATCACTTTGTAATTTTGGAGACATAAATATTGTCCTTCAAGTAATATTTGATTGAGATCCATAAACCTCTTTATATATAAAGAAAAAACAAAAAAACGGTCAAATGATTTCATTGGTCGTTAACCTCAAATATGGTCAACAAAAAAACATTTGGAACCGGTTTGCGAAAGCGGTTTTCAAACCTATAAAAAAAATCAATTTTCGTATACTAAATAAATATTTCTTTCATTAATTATTTCTTCAGTTTTTTGTTTATAAAAAGTTTGAGAGGTTTCTGAAAATTAGTTTTCACCACATGTACTATCCTGGATGCTAGAAAAATAGTTTTCTAGATATTAAAAGTTGAAAAATATCGTTTTGAACCCTGTGAAAGTCCTAAATACCCGGAATAGTACATGTGGTGAAAACTGATATTAAAAGTTGAAAAATATCCCACATGTAGCCACGAGTTTTACTTATTTGCTTAATCTATTGTACAAATATGCACCTAGCTAGAAAATATTTATTGAAATGAACTATCCGAGAAAAAACAGT